ACACACACACCTGAAATGTTACGTTTTGTGCGAGTACGATGATCTGGAGCATTTTCAACGTGTGTTGATACGCAATACATGATACATATGTATACTATATACATACCTAAGTACACGCGACCGACCACTATATCTCTCCTACTGAGGAGAGAACAAACCGTCGTACAGTATCCCACTGTCATTTGCTAAACCGTGGGTAAAGCCGCGTAATGGCTTTCAATTTCATCTTCTATAACTGAGCTTAATTAATTTTAATGCTGCGATAGGATGCAGATTGCTCGAGTAACCCACTTTTACCCTCGCTTAACCAGCTTGGATTTGAAGGGAGCTAGCTTTGACCTATTCGCGTGTATTGCAAAAGTCACGATATTATGTATTGATACATATTTGAAAGCTAAACAAGAATAATCAATTTCAATGCACAATGAATTAATAAAGATAAAATCAAAATGTTGAGAATAATTTCAAGTTTCATTCACTCCCACATGGAATTTTTAGTTGCACTTATTTACAGGATGTGTGTGCAATGATGGTGACTTGGTACATGTCACCCTACGTATAAATACATGTGTATGTATAACTCGAAGGTTGCACGTTCCTTTGTTAAATTTCCATTGTCGCGCCCATTGTGTTACACCTTGCTGTGTCTGGGAAAGATTTTCCACTTTCTTACTTGCACTCGTGCTTCTTTACATACGTTCTTTACACGTATGATGTTACGATGTCATTGTACAAATGATTGTAACTCGTTTGATTCAATTTCGATTTTATTCTTTGAATGTGTAACTAAATATATTTTTTCGAAATGTTTTCCATCAAAGCTTTACACGGCTTACAGGCTCTCCCTTGGCGGATTCATCTTTTGTATCACGTGGATACTTTCATTCGTCGTTCCATCCTTTTATATCTTCATTCTCGGGAAATTTGATGAAATTATCTTTACTTATTTAATAAAGTGACTGACCAGTATCGCAACTTTGATTTTTCGTCAAAATAGACTACGTCATCGATACATCGAATTATAAAAAATTCTGTAAGACTTAAAATCTGTTGGACAAAGCTCTGTGTATAGTATTAAGTATTTGTTTCAAAATCGAAAGAAATTGCATCCTGTATTATTATATGAAACGGTTCAGACGTTAGGATTCTGAAGTTAGGGCTCGTGTTATATGTATGAGAGGAGAAGGAGACTACTCGAGTGTCGAGCTTGACTTACCTATCCAATTAATGTTGACGCATGATTACCTACCTGCCATATGCTACTTTCGGTGATCGTATTCGTTTCATTAAGGTGAAGCCATATACGCTTCTTTAGGCGTTAAAATTACCGTCTTATTCCAAAAAATTAAATTATAAGCTACTTTAACCCCAGTTTCTGTTAATGCATGAGTACCTATATCGAATTTTAAACGGTAAAAATTTTTGCGTAAACTTTGTTATGACGTATATATATATATATATATATATATATATATAAAAAAAGGAATTTACTCTTTGAATAATAAAAAACAATTTTGTAAAAACTCTATTTTGTTTTCACTTTTACATTTTTTACGGGAACCTTGTGAAACACGGTAGTGAAAAAGTGAAAAATTATTCAATAACAGAACGGTTATATAAAAACTCTCACCGTGTGTAATATAATAAATGTGTCTTATAATGTAGAATGCCAGTGCTATCTTAGAATTATTCGGAGATAAAATTTTAATGGCTTATTTTGCAATAAAATATTTTATGATTAAATGATTATCTAGTTTACGATATTAGCAAACGATATTAGAATTCTCTGATAAGAAAAAGATTGAGAATGATAGAGAATGATAGAAAAATCCTATCCGTTTTGAATATGGATCTGGTTAGTGAATTCACTGATTTGAATTAGATCTTATAGGAATCTTGTACAAATTTTATAGAACTCAATAAAATATGATAGGATTCATATCCGATCAGTTGTGATGCTCGCGAGATCGATGATAAAAAATAATATAAACTTATAGAAAACGATACAAATTGATAGAAATTTTATCGTTCTCTATCAATTTCTTTTTACCTGCAGAATAAAAAAAGTTGATAGAGAAAAGGCGTAAAATAATTTATAGAGACATATTAAAGTAGCCTGTATCAATTTCCCCGTTATCGAGTCTGACGTGTCGCTCGGATCGGTTTGATAAAGCAAGTGTCGCTGAAAATGCGTCAGTGCTCGACGAGTTCCGTTTAAACGTTTTCTTTCGATAAGAGATAGATACGAATCGATCACGGAAATCTCCGCCGAGCCGAGAATTAATACAGTCGTCACGATTGGATTCGTCATTCCGCGCGATGAGAGACTCGTATAAACTAACCAGCATAGCAATATGAAAGCGAAACGTAATGCGTGCTCGCTTTTGCGACGTAGAAAATAAATTCGATATCCAATGTCGTATGTGTACCGTCACTTCAACAATCGCCACTGCTTCCTCTCTCGCGCCAGAGTACTTTTGTTCTCCTTATACTACAATAAGTACGATACAATGCAACGAGATAATAAAAACGTGACAAAAACCGCGACGACGTAGATTGCCATTAAACTTTCGTAACATTTTTCTCAGTTTAAATTTAAAACGCGAATAAAAATAAGATTTGCTTTCTTATAAATTTGTTAAAATTTGAACAAGATTTAAGATTTTTTTAAAAATCAGGCTGAAACGATTCAGGTTTTAATGATTCTAGAGAAAAAAAATCTACGTTCTTATCTTTCTCTTACATGTTGAACATGACAGTTGAAGTCGTGAACAATACTCACGATGCCTTTCGTTCTTTGCGATTTGATCGTTCGCTGAGAATCCAATCTTACGCTACACTTTCTGGGGGTCAACTTAACGAGATACAATCATACATTCATACATGGAACAGCAACAATTATTTCATTCTTTGACGTTTGATGAAAGGTTAACGCTTCCTTGAGCATTATATACTGAAAATAAAGCGCATTTTCGCTTATTTACAACAAACAAGCTTCGTTTGCTATAGACTGCAGTATAGGCTTACACGCGATTGAGATTTACGGTTGTTTTACACAATATGCGAAAAGCAACTAAGGCATTTGTTCCACTTTTACGTAATATATGGTGCTCTCAGTCTGATAGTTACTTATATCGGCCGACAGAGAGAAAGAATCTTTCTCGACGTTACTTACTTCCGACTACTGATATACAATGCCGTTCACGCTTTATGCTCTAAAAGTTTCGACATCCGCGTAGAGCATGATAAATCTGAGCACGAACGGGAACGTGACGAATCCGCGATTCCGGAAGAAAGGCCTAAGAAAGTGTATATGCGCATCGTTCGTAAACCATTATTTTGGATCTCTCGAAAAGCTCTAAGAAAATATATACAAAAAAATTAGATAATATACAGAGAGTACAAAAAGTATTCATACAAAGAAAATATTTTTTAAAAAAACTTTATTTCTAAAAAATAAATATTATCCAGCGAGAAATGAATTGATATCGAATCAATATGTTTTCAACAGCAATTTGACATTGATTCGACATTTAATTGATAATCATTTCTTATGGATAATTAATAATTTATTCATAAAGTATAAAATAGACTACATGTTTCTTAAAATTATATTTACCAAAAAGATATGTATTAATTATAGAAAATATATATCATCTGAAAAATAAGCGAAAATTAAAAGTTCCATTGTTTGGATGCTCAAAAAGTATTCATACAGTCGAGAAATTTAGTTTATAAAATTAAAAATACATGCAAAGCTCATTTGTATATATTAGAACAGAACGAATTCATTGTATAAAATTACTAATTAACGTTTATTTTCTACAAATAACACTTTTCTATAAAAAATTTCCTTATATGAATACTTTTTGCTCTCTCTGTAAATAGAACAAAAAAAGTGAATCAATCCAAGGATTACATACCTAAAAAATGAAATTTAAAAATGCTTCAGTCAAAAATGCTTCAGCGTAAAATTTTTTTCGCTGAAATGGCGGGATTTGGGAATAATATCTGTTAGTACTTATAGTAATGTCTACTTACAATTAATATTTGATTTTACCGATTTGTATTCTGTTCGCTGTAATGACGCGTAGCACAGCGATATTTAACTCGTACAGCGTCGGACAGGCGTGCTTTATAGTTATAGACCGGTAATTGTCGTGTGCAAGGCCGGTCTCTGACCCACATACAGCTGATTGACAAAACCGCCGAATGCTCCTCGATATTCATTGACCAAAAATGATTTTTACGTATGCAATGTCTAAATTATTAGTAATTATTAGTAGAGAAAGTTTATAATTTCAGAGGGTAAAATTGGTGTAAAAGAATTTTTTTTTAAGAAATTGCAAGATTTTTCATATACATTTTTATTTCCATGACTTTTCCATGACAATTCAATCGATTCATCCGCGATTCGCGAAAATATCGATTGGTGAGAATGATAGATATTTCTTGTCTTCTTCGCATTATCTACATGCATCATATACATCGTGCAACGTGGTGTAACGTAAACGGCTAGTAAACGGCCTCGAAACGCGAATCGCAACGGACACGTTGTCGCGCGTGTCGCGTGCTATGTTATCTACTTTACTTGGCCGTGTATCGTATATACAGCAGTAGCAACAGTAGCAGGATAGTCGAGGAAGTGGCGGTATCTCGCCACATCCTACCTCGTCCTGTTCCCGTTTTGCCAACCAACGGAGGGAGTACTGAAAACTGCCTCTCATGCTCTCAGTTCAGTGAAAGCGACAACTACCAAGCAAGCTAGTCTCTTCCGCGCCGCAGATCGCGAATTAGGATTGAATATCGCAGACATTTAATTACATCAAGGCGCGTAAACTGTGCCTTTACCTTACTCCGTTTCCAATCGGTTGTATCTGCAATTTTATCATTCTTTTATCATTATTTTACGTGGCTCCCAATTATGGCGAGAGAGAAAATTTCGGTGCTATAAAAATGATCTCACTCAGCGAGAAGAAGCTCTTCGCTAAGTAATTATGATGTGGGACTCCCGCGAAAATTCCTTCACCAAGACAGGCAGGACGAGATGGTCCTACGAGACTTGCTCATCCGCGCGCGAGAATCAGACACAGAATCGAGATACGTTCGCCAGGATGCGCCCTTCGCATGTAACGGTGCAAGAAGATCCCGCGTCGCAGCAGCGTGTGAATGTACAACAGCGTTCGAGCTATCTATACCGCCAGCAACGCTCTTCTTGGCAACAGGATAATCGTTCGTGGTACACAATGCGCGTCAATTTTTTGCTCTCCTCCGTTCTTCGCCTTCTTCACCTCACGTTATCGCAATATTCACAAAGTTGTTTCCCATTTGTTTCTTCATAAATGATTAATTCGACAATCCAAAGTTTCCACATGTTGATGATACAAGTCGATACAAGTGTCACTCTGTCTTTGTTGTGTACTCATTCAATGTCAAGAAAGATAGAACGATGTCACTAAAGCGAAAGCATTCTTTTTTTATAATATTTGTTTTATACGCTTATACATGTACATATATTCAGTCTGGTTCCAATTTCATGTATCCCATAGCTATGTATGTGTCGATGGAATAGTTAGGAAGCGATTATATCAGAAATGTAACAAAGTCAAAAGTGGTAAATAAATCAGAGAAATGTGTTGTACAATCTATATTTCGTCGATTTGTTCTTGTTATTGCTTTGCCGGATTATGCGACTTTCTCGTATATATGAGCAGAAGAAAAAAAATGATAAAGCGGCGTGAGAGATATGTGCACCACATGTATATATCACCCACGATTCAGTTCGGTGCAACATTTATTTATTTCCTTAGCTCTTTAGATAACAACTGCTTTAATTTATGCAAATATACCTACTTTCTTTACATTCCAATCTTCAGTTTTTTTACTCTTATATACGTAAGTAACGAAATTAATTGAAAAAATTTCATCATTGACAACTTGGCACTTTTCAACTGCATAATACATTTCAACACACAATTCTCGTTCTCTCTCCTCCTCAAGACAACGTTATGAAAAGAACAAAAGAGCTTGAGAGAATAATTGCAAATGAAAAAAAATATAAAAAATCAAAAGAATTAATTGGCAAAAAATCGATTAAAGTAACACTTAAATGGCTCCGCGGAATTTTTTGAATTCCACGAATAAATCAAATTTAAATAAATTGCTTGTATGAGCAATCTCTGCGGTTGTTAGTGCATAATATAAATAATAGATTTATAAAGCGATGAGATATATTTGTAAACAATTGGGTTGTACTTATCAATCAAGTTATATAGGCGCCCTATAAATATACCTATATTATTTACACATTAACAAGTCCACGAAGTCTCACATATATAGCCAATTTACGAAAATCGATGTTTTGTCATTTTCAGTGAAGTGAGCATATCATCCGCCCGCGCGTCGGTGATGGTGTACGACGACGTGAACAAGAAATGGGTACCGAGTGGCAGCTCGTCCGGTCTGTCGAAGGTTCAGCTCTATCACCATCAAGTGAACAATACGTTTCGCGTAGTCGGCAGGAAGTTGCAGGATCACGAAATTGTCATCAACTGTGCGATCCTAAAGGGACTCAAGTACAATCAAGCCACGGTCACGTTTCACCAGTGGCGAGATAACAAGCAAGTCTACGGACTCAATTTTTCCAGTAAAGATGACGCCGATGCCTTCGCTCGGGCGATGCTCCAGGCACTTGATGTAATTTATTATATTTCTTTTACCTTATCGTTTTATTAGAATTATTATAACTGACTCTGACTTACCATCCCGGATTTCACTATCTATTCTAGTCTTCTGGATCTATAGTTTTAACATCGTTAACCTATCGTGAAGCTATTACGGCAATTTAAGATTGGGAGCGGCCAAATTTTCTGACAAACATTCATTCCAACAAACGTTCAACTTGGATGCTATTAACCAGAAAGAAAAAAAAGAGAATTAGGGGTAAAAAACGTTTGCTATCGTGGAACATCGATTTCAGTTACGGCAATTACAATTTGTTAGGCGTTGTTATAATTGGATATATTATCGTTAATTAACTTTTAATTACACATTACGTCTTGTTGCGATGTTGCGTAGGTGCTAAGTAATGGTAGCAACATATCAAGGAGTCTTGCTCCGACAACCAACACGACTACTCAACAGCAAACCGCCTATCAACAGCAGCAGCAGCAGCAACAGCAGCAGCAGCAGCAGCAGCAGCAGCAGCAGCAACAACAACAACAACAACAACAACAACAGCAACAGCAGCAGCAGCAGCAGCAACAGAGTCAGGCAACCGTTCAATATGAGGAAGATATGGGATATAGGTATGTCTCTTTTATTTTCTTCTTGTTTCTTTTACATTTCAAACGATTTACGAAATGTAATCTATTATCTCATTACCGTAATTACCTTTTGTTACGAAATATAAGACAGTGCACATAACATCCAGTCAATTCCTGTCACGTTTTCGAACGAAATGCAGGCATGTCGTTTTTTCTTTTTTACTTGTAAAATGTTTTATTTAATATAACGAATCAGTGTGGAGACAATCATATATGAGGCAGCTTTTGGTATACATGATGTGATCGTTATACAGGACGATATATGTATATTGCATACACATATATGTAGAAGTGCGAAAAGCTTGTAGGGTGACAATTTACTTTATGGATATAGACCCATTTCGATTTCCCTATCGTTCATCTAAAACGAGTCACACATCTGTCCTGACTGGTTACAGTCAAGGTCGTAACGCGCGGATTTCCTTGTCCCTGAGCCATCTGCCTACAGGAGGCCAGACGGCCCTGCCCGTGGGCTCCGCCACCACAACCCCCGAACACCACGTGACCGTTAGTGGTGCTGTTGGCACTGTTATTCAAATGGGCTGTGCGCGTGGCTCATCGGGCGATGGATATACGAGGTGATCTTCCTGTCCTTTTAACCCATAATAATCTGAATTTCTTAATTAACTATTATCAAAGTACTACTATCAAAGTAAAGTTTTATGCAATATTATATGTTATTAACTAATACGTTATTAACTAACGCAGAAAAGTGATTTTTTTTTTAAATTTTTTTCTAAAATATGCCAAGAAATTATTGATTTAATATTGTTGTACCATATGAGACCAGTTACATGTAGGTTAATATGGGTTAAAGACTATCTAGGATCTCCTTATTCTTTATAGTAAATACGTCGAGCATTAACTACGTTAGAATAATCGTTCTATTTCTTTCCTCCTTGCATCTTTTACCTTCCTCTGTGTTGTATACTGAATCTACATGCGAAACTTCAGTTACTGTAAAAACGAGAATCAGTGGAAAAATATTTACATGATGTCGAAAATAAAATTGCAGAGAGCAATTCTAAGCGGGAGAATTCCGTCTGTTGCGCCTCTCAAAATAACTCCCTGCGCCTCTCAAAATAACTCGAATACATTGCACGACTGAGTTTGATGTTTTTTTCTAATTTTTTATGCACACTTTTTACAAAATTCAAGATATATTTGATAAATTCAATTTATCAAAACGCGGTTGTCGAATAGGTCTAGTATACAAACTTATCAGGAATAACATAACTGTTATACTTGTATGCACACATCTACATTAGCTTGCTCTGTATGGAAAGTATCTTGCACTATATAATGAAAATATAAAGGAGATTAACATCTTCTTTAGTTTTTTATGTGGTTTGTATAAATTAATAATATCTCTCTTTCGATACACTCTTAACAATAGACTGTGATGTAGGATAAGAGTATTTTCCTATCGTTAAAATATATTTATAGCAAAATAGGAAATAATCTTTGTAGCACAGTATTATTTAGCATGTTAGTGTGCGACACATTTAAATTTATCCCATGCGTTTATACATATATAATTTTTTCTCTTTATGTCAGTATTGGGAAATATTTTTCAAAGTCGGTTAAAACGAATTTTTAGTAACGATCTATATAGAAGAGATATATAAGTAATCTATTACGTATCTATTATATTAGTTGGCTGGCCCTACTCTACGCTTTATACATATTAACAATGTATTGTACATCAATGAAAAATCATTTTGTAACTAATTCCAAATCATTTCAATCTGCGCAGAACCATGACTAGAGAAGACGTGGCAATAATTCAGGAACGCAGAATGTCTCAGCAAAGTCAAGGTATTATATTCACATTTTTTAACATAATTAATTTTATATATTATGTATAATAAGAATATTATATCTAAATGTAATTTTATAACAAGCTTACATGTAAAAAAATTGCATAAATGCATTTAAATTACAAGAATTCTAAAGGAAGTATCAAATATTATATATGTTGTTATGTATGTTGTATACATATATTATATATGTACATATGTATA